CAGGGTTTGGTTGGCCTTTTTGGCTTAGGGACCCTAAACCCTTTAATTCTCTAATCCAATAGTTAGGGTTCTGAATGAAGAGCTCTCAAAAGTTGTCTTCTGCACGATTGAGGGCTTGTTCTAGAAAATGTAGGAACAAAATTCAAAGTCTAGTCGTCCCCGCACACATTGGGCATCTCTCTTCAATCACTCCTTTCGCCTTGTCCGGCCACTATGTAGACGAAACGCCCTCAAAGGACGTAACATTGCATTGGGTAAAGAACGTGTTCAGGTGTCAGGGTTCGGAGTTTGGAGCCCTTCGCTCCTCCAACCGAATGGAAAATCCAGAAAAGGCCCCTGGAAGGGGCACCATCCAGACCATTGTCCTTCCGACAGCTGCCAAAATGGGAGAACATGTTAGTTTAGGGGAGGCTTTCAATTTCATACCCACCTGTAAATTCCATAGCCTAAGCAGTGTAGGTTCTAAGCAGTTCACGACTTCAAAATTTGGACTGACAAGGTTTTTCTTTAGGACAGTGTCGGCTCTGGCCCTGTGGATCCTAACCCCCGCAAACCAAACCCTGAGCCTAAACCCTAAACACTAAACCTTGAATCCTAAACCTCTACTCCTTCCTAAACCAGGGATCCCTAAGCCAAAAAGGACCCCCAGAATCCCATAGGGACCTTGGAGCCCGAAAGAAAATCAGCTGAGGTTGCAAAGCCAAGTTCGGGACACCCAAAAAAATGCGGCAGGCGACCCAAAAAGGCGCGGCAGGGAATTCCTGTTGCCTTACACCCTGAGCCTTTGCCCTGGATCCCTTACCAGGAAAGAAAAAAAGACAAACACGAAGCTTGGATGCACGGCTAGGGTTTGGCGCTTTAGGAGTTGGGCAGGTAATGTCAGGGCTTGAGGGTTGAGGATTTTATGTTTCATTATCTTTGTAGCTAGGGTTGTGGGCTCTGTTCTTCCGAGAACCACACTCCTCCCCTATATAATCCCCTATATATCCCATCCCCCTTTAAGGAGTTTAGACTATAGCTCATATACCCCCTTATGGGACCTAATGTTTGGAAGCCCCCAAATGAGCTTGATGATGAGAAGACCCGGAATCCCAAACTTGGGATGGCTTAAGGGTTTGGGTTTAGGGCTTTAGGGTGTTTTAGGGTTTAGGGTTTTAGGGTTTTAGGGTTTAGGGCTTAGGGTTTTAGGGTTTTGAGTTTAGGGTTTCAGGGTTTAGGGTTTAGGGTTTTAGGGTTTAGGGTTTGTATAGGAGTCATCTAGTCGCTTCCCCCCCAATAATGAACGACGTCCCCCCCCGCCCCTATAACAAAAAATCCGGGTGCTCAGTTTTTTATTATTAGGGGCGAGATTTTTATTGAAGGAATTTGGCTGGGTTACCTTTAAATTCCTGTAAGAGCTATTAAAATGTATTTAAAACTAGTTACTAATGGAATGAAATAATCGAATCTAATCCACTAATTAATTCCGCAAATATTCCGTAGTCATTGAATTAATTAACTAATTAAAGAGCAACCAGCAAATGAGTTCATTATCGAATTAGCTTTAAGCAAAAGAAAAGTAATGAATTATTTAAAAGAAACGTTTGAACATGACCCCTCTGATGAACTTAAGAACCACCCCTAATTCATTATGGTCTGGCTCCTTTTAAAAGTACTCTTCCCCCGCTTAAGCTAATCATGAGGATTTTTAGGGCCTTGGACTTATTATTTATTAGTAGGATGGGTTTTATGAATAACGTGAAGTGATTAGGGATATGCTTCTATATGTATGTGCGTGATTATATTAGCATTATGTAGTGGTCGTTTCGAGGTCGTAGGGAAAATGGGACATGAACATGGAACGGTGATTTTGTAGGCGTTTGGCGGCGTTTGGTTGGGATTAGGCTTTAGAAAGAATTGGGGGTCCCCTTTCGGGAGTCCCCTCAATGAGGATTATACTTTTTTGTTGGAGCTCTGTCTTTGGACCGCCTATTCATGGAAGCCCTCCTTTCACCACTCACGCCCCCACACCAACTCCCCTAGGTTCCCCCTCAACAGCCAATTAGCAATAATCATTTTTCAACATCCTTAATAATCGGAGAACTTTGGGGAGTAGCATGGGGGGTATCAGAGAAATGCACCTCTACCCGCTTGGTTTGCCAGAAGAACCTCTAAAGCCAAACGTAGGGGTCATAATAACGACCAATATGATTGTCCTAACTGCCTTGTAGAATCCTGTTTTAGTAGCCACCTGGTTAATAAACTCCCTCCCTTAATAGGGACGATAATAGGGATCCTAATTTTCAAGCCCGTAAAAGGACGGGGGTTGCTTCATTAGGGGTCTACATTATGGGCTACCTCAAGTAGACCCCGGCATGATCTTGGTAGTTATTGAGGCCTTAAACCCCAGTTGCACCAAGCCCTCAACTCTACAGGCGTCAACCCGCTGCCTATCCCCAAACTGGCGTTTAGGGCTTAGGGTTTAGGGTTCGGGTTTGTTTAGGGCTTAGGGTTCAGGGCTTAGGGTTTAGGGCTTAGGGGTCAGGGTTTAGGGTTCAGGGGTTTAGGGTTCGGGTTCAGGATTTATCCTGCGCCCTGAAGCCGTGCAACCCGCACCCTCCAAGCCCTGCACCAATCTTGGCCTAGGTGGCCAAATCGAAGTTATAACCTGAAAAATGTTCCATAGCCTCTTTTTGATTGCTTGTAAAGATAACTCTAGTCTACACTGCAACCCTGACAAACCGCAAACAGTTCAAAAAACGCTTTACACCTATAGGTCCCCCAGTAGTACGTAGCCTTTTTCTCTTTTTAAGCTTGACACCACCTTTTGTGTTATTCTTAAGGGGTTCCTGGGGAGCCTAACTAGATCTAATTAGGCAACCCTTTGTTATTATTCTTAAGGGGTTTCTGGGGGAACCCAGGCACCCCCTTTCTCTGCAACGAGGTCTTCAGAAGGCGAGGTTGAGTTCGCGCAGATCGGCCTGCCTATGCAGGAGACGCCAGCACCTTGAACCTGGCGAAGGGCTAACAGGGGTTGAGGGTTCAGGGTTGAGAGGCCTATATAATTATGAATATTATGGTCCCTTGAAAGGCTTATAGGGGTACATATACACACATATGTCTATATATATATATATGTAGGTGTGGGGCATAGGGTTGAGGCTTTCGGGTTGAGAGTTCAGGGTCAGTCAGGGATTAGGGATGAGCGTTTAGGACTAGAGTTGCGGGTTTAGGGGTTAGGGTTTGGGGTTTGAGGGATAATGAATCAATCCCCTTCTCTAAGTCACTCGGGACAAAAAATCGGGTCTCTATGGTTTGTATAGAACCGCCACAATTTATCGGCGTGTGCAGATCATGGGAAAACGATAAGAGATGACAAGAGTAAATAAAACGCTAACGCAGTACATTATACAGTAATGTTTGATGGGAAAGGATAAGAACAAAAAAGCTAACTCATGTGCCAAATTGGATAGAAGGCTGGCTTGGCACGGCTCAAATAATTGACCGCTGCCCCAAAAGAATGACTAGATCCCTATACAGTACCATTCCATAATAGGTGCAAACTTCATCAGTAGGGGGTTGGTGAGCTTCGTTGAGAGGGATTCAAGAATGTAGGGACTAAGCGGTTTACGTCTCTTTGTGGGTTCAGGGATGTAGGCGTAGGGCTTAGGGTCTAGGGGTATATTTCCTCGATATTTTCGTGGTGTTGGGTTGAGGCTGTAAGGGTCTTGGCGATTGGGCGAGCATGTAGGGTTTGACCACCAAATTTCTGCGAAACCCGAAATGAAGATGCTGGAGCATAAAGAGGCTTTCCTGGGATGACACAGAAAGTGTGGCTCGCCTTTCGGGGCCTCGATAGTATCAGCGGTTTCCTTAGCACCGCCCCTATACTACCTACCCCTCCAACGAAACCCATGACCATAGCATGGATCCTGTCATTCCAAAAGGGGCAGTGGCTTGAAAGTTGGTCGCTTCTTAGCTCCGAGACAGACTTTTCAGGTTGGTGGTAATGTGTACTTGGTGCGATGTCAGCCTAAACTAGTGGAGAATAGACTCGGGTCTGCAGCGTTGAAGACAATAGGGGGCGGTCCGAATAGCATGGGGTGAAGCAGTGTAGCATAAGCTGCGCAAGGCTGTCTCTTGGGCTTGGTAGTTCCAAGTAGTATGACTCTATGACCAAAGTCTCAATGCTACTGATAGCATTGAAGAATTCAATTCGTACATTGTTCCTGTTAGCGTCACTTAACTTACCACATATGGCTCTTGTGGTAGTTCATTGCATAGAAAAGGATGCTTCTGTGTTCGCAATGGGTCGGGGGACTGGCTTGCAGGTCCTCATCAAGAGTTAGGTCTGTCTATTTTCCTTGGGTTTGCTACTTGCCACAGTTTGGGGTTTCACGGGCCTAGGGGGCAACAACTCTTGCCAGTATGCTTAGTACTGCTTGAACCATGACCACGACTGCCGCTACTTCTTGCAGCTGCTGCTCGCGTGACGACTTACATGACTGCTTCTGCTGTTACAAATCAAAACAATTGTGTCAGGAATCGCACTTAGGTCTGTGGCGGCGAGCAGTGCACTTCCGGCAGCGCTCGGCAAGCTGCTGGTTCAACAGCAGGCTTGTATGATCCGACACTGTGACGACGTTTGGGTATTTCTTCCCCGGTTTACGCAGAGCATTACCAATGCAATATTCCAAATTGAATATTTTGCCACCAACTACTTTGAATTTCTTTGCTGCCACAGCAGTTGCAGTTTTCATGTCCAAAAGCCAGCCACGCTGATGCCTCATGTGCAGCAACCTTCAGCTGTGAGAAGTGGCTTGCGCAGTGCATCGCGAGAAGTGCAATACATGTCAGAGCAATGGCGATACCCCAATGCTGTCCGATAGCCCATGTTGCCATATTTCTCAGCACTACTGTTCTGCCCCTGAAACACGTAGTACTTGCATGACAGCTACTATATTGAGGCATCGCCGCATTGCTTGGTTTTTTGTTCCCAGCGAAAATATTCAGAAGGCGACGAGTGGCATCCGTGTCCAAATTCATACGCTCATCTGCACACTGCAACATCACAAGAGGGACCTGAGAACAAGCGGCATCTAAGATGGCTCGACGATTCATCATGCGAGTAAGCGAGTTCCAGTGACTCGACATGCAGAAACCAGAGCGGAAATTCTCGTCAAAGAATTGCTGATCTAAAGACAACAACTTACCAGACACGCATCTCGCAGTGAAAGCCGTCCACACCTCCTCCGGGGAAGGCGAACCTGCACGCATACACTGGAGCAACTCCACCAAAGAATCGCCAGGAACGAAGCGCATAGTCCCGCGAAGCTCGAACACGTCATGCACCCGATCGAAGACGGCTTGCGCATGCGTCACCTCCGGCGGCACATCATTGTAAACTAGATTACCACCCTTGTCCTTCTCATCCATGTCTGCCACCAGAGAAAGCTGCCCAGTCGGACGCAACTGAAGAAAATCTCCAAGGTACAGCGTGATGGGAATGCGGCCGAAAGCATTACCTGTCCTGTGATACTCGTCTGGGGACAGATGATGCGACTCGCGACGGCCCAGCATGGCACGATAATCCAACTTGTTGAACAACAGTGCGGAAATCATGCAGATCTCTTCCATGATCAGCACGCGACACGATTGCCAATTGCGATTGAGCTTGCTCTCCTTGCCACCTGCTGACATTTTTGAATTCGTCAGCTTCTGCACGCGCATGCAAGCCGCCGCGTGCAAGGTAGTGGCCGTGACAGATGCGGTGGAGATGTTCTTGGCCTGAGAGTTTTTGGCGGCCACCACCCGCAAGGTTCTCTCGCCCATCTTCCGGGGGCCAGATAAACAGCACAATCGGAAAAATCAGCTTTTGCGCGACGTAGGTCTTGCCCGAACCGCCCTGGCCAAGCAAGAGCATGTGATAGACTCCGTCTGCCGGGCTCCTTGCTCTGCTCCTGACACAGTATGCCGCAGGTCCAACTACCACGCACGCATACAATCAACAGCATTAACACGCGAGCTCAGTCCTCTTTGAACACGGCGTCCAGGATCACGCCAAAACGCGCCCGGAACAATTTCTGATCTTCATTGAGAGCCTCCTGCGGCGGCAGGTTCTGGACGAGGTCTGCCAACAAGTCCGAGGGCCATTGGTATACTGTCTGGTCTGAGAGCCGCACACACTCCCGCGGCAACCTCGTGCGACTTCTCCACACTTTGTCGGGCTCCTTCTAGTCGATACATGACTCATCCAATGCGCCGTCGCACCCATGTCTCTCACAGTAGCAACCGCTCCTGACGAAGGTGTCGGAGAACTCACACCAGCTGCGGCAGCAACGGCGCGAAAGGCTCGAGCTCAACATCTCCAACCTCGTCGAAATCTTACACTGGTCCCTCTTCGCCCGGAGTCATCACCTGAGCTACCTTTTCCAGGAGATATTGATCCTCGTCACGCCGCCTCTTCGGTTTCTCATGACGAGCCCTGGCCAAACCTTCCAAGTTGGCAAAGCGCTCCACCGCCTGCATTGCAGAATACTCGGAACAACGGATACGGTCGGACAAGTCGGCGAACGAGTTCTGCAAGCTGTCCATCCCGGATTGCTCGCACTCACTGCCTGCTAGCCTCTCTCGCAGCTGCTGAAGCATGGCAGCCCGCACCTCGTGAGTCTCCCACAGAGAAGGAAACACCTGACGCTTGGCCGATCTGCTCCGAGCTCTAGACGCCAACTCCTCGGCCTCATGGAACCACTCCACGCCGCCACGCGCGCAGACTCCGACGTCTTCTGTCTAGGCTGGCACAACTTAGTGAACGCATCGAGCACCAAGTCGTCCTGGCTCTGAGTGTTGCGAGGACTCGCAGAAACTGCAAAAGGTCGACACTGCAACTGCTTGTACATTGCATTATGCTCGCGATCGTACTCGAACGGGGGCACTGTGAAACCCTCGAACATAGGAACACGAGGCTCAGAAGCGATGCGTTTGTCCTCGCCAGTCGCCTGAAATGCTCGCAAGTTCGGGCAGGTGCCCTGGGCAACGTTTTGCACCACTCTTTCCTCCGCCGCACTCTGCTGGAGAAGGTCCTGAATGAAAGTCAGTTGGTGCACTTTCTTCAGCCTCCGAAGTGCTTGATCGCGATCAAAGACTTCCTGCGCATTCCGACAAATCTGTCCCTGCGGACCGACAAAGAACACCAACTCCTCGCACTTAAGCTCGTCTCGAGTTCGCATTTTACGCCGTCCTGACATGACCACATCGTCCAAGCCTTCTCGATACACAACGGCCTCGCCGTGATCAACTGTCTGAGTCCACGCTTGTGCAACGGAGTCGCCGTGCAGACGGCGAAAGGCTGCAAGAGCAAAAAACACCGCCTTCTTGGTGTATAACTTCCAAGTCCGATGAGACGCATACGTTAGATGCTGTTGAAGCAGCGGAAAGATCACCTCGGAAGCACTCTTCCAGTAACATCTGCGATAAGACGAACTCAGGCGACCCAACGTCTTGAGTGTCTCGCTGAACAAGATGTTCCTGCACGTGTAACGAGGCAACTCTTCCCCTGCAAGTTCGCAACGTTTGGCTTCGGCGTCTCTGTCTCGTTCTCGTTCCGCTCGCGCCTTTTCCAGGCGCTCTACCCCCTGTCGAAGCATCTCCAACACACTTCCCAAACCAGGATTCGGCTTCGTGGTATAGCCTAACACAGGAGGAAAATTCCACACACAACAACGCATCCCTGCTTTGCAACTCGAACAGAGACAAATCGCAGCCGTCATCGAACTTGCTCATGTCGCGGGCCTCGGACGCAATCTTCACCGGCGAACCAGGTTCCAAGTCACCAAACAAACGAGGAGCGGCTTGCACCGAAGCCTGAGAAATTGATTCAAAGCTGGCCACAACCATCTAAGGTCACCAGCCGCGAGCACAGCTCATCCTTGCGATTTCGGAGCATGGTAGACAGCTCGCGCGTCACTTGCAAATGTTGACAGACCAGCCACACCAGAATATAAGGATGCAGTGATCCACGTCCTTGAGCTTCTATCTCACCCCGAAATGCCAGAATAGGGCCAACCATCCCGGCGCCCGTGGAAGCTGCAGCCGCGCCATCACTACACCATTCCCGAACAGGAGGACGTCCCGTCCCACGAGAGGCCAAAGTATCCGGACGAACGTTCAGCGCACGCAGTAAGAACAAAGGAATCAAAAGCTCGAACTGGACAGTCTGACCGACTGGGTCATCTGCAAGACGACGAAGCATGTCTATACGTAGGCAAAACCGACTCCATGTCCGTAGTCACCGCGCCCGTATCAACCTCTTCGCCCTGAACCACCAAATGAAGAGGATGTTGTGTGTCAGCTGGATTAGGATGTTGTGTGTCAGCTGGATTCGGAGTCATGAAAGCAGAGGCGGACCGAAAGTCTCCATGTAAGCGACACCTTCGTGACGACACAGCTCCCGACGGCCATCCGTACCCACAACAGTCATGGACGCCTTGCGCGTTGCAGTAATAGCATCTCGCACCACCCCAGGAACCGTGTTATCATTTAAAGATTTTAAGCCGGCATTCTCCGGCAGGATCCTGGCAGCAGCAGCAGCAGCCAAGTCTTCCGCAGTCAGTTTTTCCAACTTCTTGGCGTATCCCATACCCCCATTCTTCAAGAAATGATATCCAGCTGCTCGCTGATCCATCAAGCAAGAGACGGTGGCCATCATATGAAGTGCAGTGGAGTCACGCGGCACACGAAAACCGATTCTGGACAGGACTCTTGTAGCCTTTCTCTGGCCCGACGTCATACTCCAACTCCTCACGCAGCAGAAGTGCAGCCGCCCAGTCAGTGGTCGTCAGCAAAGTGTCTCGGTCATAAAGATTGCCAGCATCTCCGTAGCGCCAAAGACGAGGTTTTGCCATGGTCCAGATTCTCCAATCCCACAGACTCAAGGCCTTCTTTCCACGCGTCACATACAAATGCGGAATGGTACGACCCCCGCCCGGGATCCAAAGCAGACTCCGGCTCCTTCGAGTCACCTTCAGCTCTTCACATCCCGCGTCGAGCTAAGAGTTCACGTCAGCCTCCCGGTCTTCGAATACCTCGTCAACCTGCGAATCCTTACAAGACCAGACAGACCTGCCCATCACAGAGAATCCGCCAACTCTCGCTCCGGCACACGACGTCGATCATCAGCCGAAAGCTGTTTGCAAGACGCGTGAATCTCTTGATATATCTGCAAGATCCGACGTCTCACACGCTCATCTAACAGCGTACACTTGCCGTCTATCATGGCCTCCATCTCCTTTGCCACTGACCGCTCACCTGCTCGCTCGAACTCGCGCAACTTCTCCATCATTTGGGCCACACAGGCAGACACTTCCGTGTTGCTCGGCGTTGAAATCTTGCACACGCGGCTCCATAGCAAAGATGCAAGCCTGATCAACACCGCAGGCATCGTTTACATCAACCTTTGTGACTTGCTGCCCCTCTGTGGCAGTCTCCGGACCTGTGCCCGCGATCTTGCCTGGGCCCTCCTCTCCCACTACCACCGGCAGCACACAGTCCAGAACAGGAGGCGGCGCGAGCGACTTCACCTCCTGCAGGCAGCAAACAAAACCAGAACAAAACAACCAACCCTTCATCTCAGGTTACATACCAAAACAAAAACCTCACAATTCTAACTCCAGACTAGACTCCTTGTCGGTGAACCACTTGGCCAACACCTGTTCGTCGATCTGCTTCACGCCCTTCTCGTAGACAGGATTAGTCTCCCTCAGCTTATCCGCCTGAGCGAGAAATTGTTCGCGATGCAACTGCAAGGACGCCACTAGACTGACCACAGCGCGACAGGACTCCACAGAAGCTTCATCCGGCAAGTCGACGCAGAAAGACACAGCCAGTGCATCGTTCAGCTGCTGCGGCGGCAGCGTCTCGACCGCGTCCCGTGCATCGCCGTTGTGAAAGACAACCGAAGACCCAATATACCCAGACTGATAAAATGCATGGTCCCACCGATTCGCCGAAGTGGGCTTTTGCTCCGAGGCTCCTCCAGCGCGAAGCACCACCTTGGTTGCCACCGTCTTCGCCAGACCCAAACACATTCAGATTAAGATTTGCATGCCAAAGCAACGGATCGGGACGACCCAGCCACATATCATTTGCCAAGGCGTGCTTGCACAACCAAGGACTCTTTGTCGAAAACGCATCGACGCAATGCACTCCTTTGGAATCAAAAGCCAGCGCTGACGGTAGCGATCCACCGACAAAAGCTCCCAAACATCCGTAGGTTTCTTCATAAAGCAATGATTTCCCGTCAGGAAACACTCTCTCATGTTTTCGCGCCAGAATGTGCGAGCAGGCGCTCTCGTGAAGGCGGCGGCACGGCAGAATCCCAATCCAGAGCAGAAGACCGAAGGAACTCCGCTCCGCGTAATTGCTCACATAATGCCGCACCTGCCACATTCAAATCTGCGTCCCTAAATGCGTTCAGCAAAACATCTGATCAACACGAAACAATCGAAAAAGCAAGAAAACACACAGAAACCTCGGAGGCGACCACCACGTGAGGACACAACGGCTCCAGGTACAGGAAAAGTGTTGCGATATCTTTGCAAACCTCCATGTTCTTCATCAATGTGACGCAGAAGTTCAGCCCGGGTTCTGTACTGACGCTCGCACAGCAGACAGGGTTGCTTCTCCATCTGCACGGCACACATCAGCCAGACTCTCAATGAAGCATCCTTCTTGGGAACTGACAAACCTTGCACGTGTGCGAAGCGACGAAAAAGGATTGTCCACCTCATTTGACAACGTCAAAGCGCAAACCGTCCACATTGTCGGAGCAGGCAGCGCAACCAAACGCGTGTGACATGCCTTCCTCGGCCTTTCTCTTCCTGTCACGATTCCCTCGAGGATCCGTACAAGTAGCATGCGCACACCCGCCTGAGCCCTGCCTGCTACCAAGTGACTGCCAATTGTCAGCATTCGCAGTCTTCACCTTATTACCGGCCTTGCACTGGTGATCCGTCCGGATGTCCAACTGCTTTGCTGTCAGCGGCCTTTTGCCAGCGGGACGAGTAGGACCATGGTACGGGGCGGGTCTCTTGCCGGTCACTCTCCGCAGACTTTGAAACCCAGAACTTTCACGCCCACCAGCACCTGATGACTCGCCTTCCCAAACCGGGCCGCGCGAATCGGAACACAAAATGTGATGAAGCACATTCGGAAGCATCCGAAAAGCAACCTCATCAGCACGCGGGATGGAAGACCGCGCAGATAAACCTACCTGCCGCTTTTTACGAGTAAAGCGAACATTCTTGTTCAGAAACATCAGTGTGGGCCACTTGCAAAGATGCTTCTGATCGAATCTAGACGCCACGCCATCGTCAAAGGTCAGCCACTCACTTTCTGCATAAACAGTAGAAGTGTAATGCTCGTCCGCGTAGCACTCGACACCTGTGAGGCAGTAATCAGCCTGCAAGCAAGAACATATAAAAACAAAAAGCACGCACAAACGCAAACATACACACGGAGTCCTCGCCTTCCACCGGTCCTCATGCCGAACCATCCGCCGATTCAAGTCGAGTGTGCGTCCTTTGCATCCCTTCCCCGAAGTCAAACATAGAATCACCACAGTCGACGAAGGCCACTCGTCGGTGAAGATTGCTTTCATGATGTCATGCACGTTCCAAAGTCCGCGAGCAAACGCATCAGGCAAAAAGAAGGGGCCATCCAAGCACCGAGTTCCATCCAAAATTCTGTAAAGTGGGCAATCCGAAATTTCCCGAGATATCATCAAAATTTTGAAGACGGCTCCGCGCGTGAGCACAATTTTGATCGATTGAAAAAGATAAAATCGATACAAAAAAATCAAAGAAATTTTGAGGACGTCTCGAGTGATAGCGCGATTGTTGAAAATAGCTTCAAGATAATAAAAAGTGAGCAGAGGCTCAAAATAGGCCGACTGTCCGACAAAAGTGCGCTATTTTGATGTTTTCATAACGTCAAAATGTTAAAAAATCAACGAAATTTTGAAGATGTCTCGAGCGAGCGCGATTTGTGATGATTTTAGTGAAAGTTTCAACCCCCCCTAGCACGACTAAAGTAAAGGCAATCTGGCTTCCCAGACACAATATTGGAAGATTCGCCGAAATGAAGACGTCTCGAATGAGAGCGTAATTTATCACTTCTTATTAATGCGTCCAAAATATTTGCGCGATGGAAGAGCACGCTGCGGGTGCCGGGCGACGCACATCGAAATAATTAGAATCCGACACTAGATGGGGGGAATAAAATTTGGAATACAAAAAGATGCTTATGCAGATGAAGAATATGGCGCAAAAAATATATTCTAAAGACGTTAAAGGCCTTGATTTTAAAAAGCAAGAGCAAAAATTGAAAAGGGGGGTTATATCCGATGATTTCATTTATGTGAGGTTAAATTTTTTCGAATTCTTGATTTAAAGTATTGAGCGGAGATCTTCTGCGAATTTTGGAATATTTTTAGTTTTCAAGATTTTCGGTAAAAGATAGGCATGAGAATTTCTTAGTTTTGTATAGATACACGCTGATTCTATGCAAATTCGGGAAGATAATATATTTATTGGGATTCGTATTCTTATTCGAAATCTTTTCAAAAAATCTAGATATTTTATCGAAAAAAAAATAAGATTTCATTTCAAATATCTTGATTAAGGAGGTCAAATATTTGATTGATTGCGTTTTTGATTTTTAAGCAATAGCGTTCTTATCTGAGATTTCTTGAAAATCGGATTTTTATAAATTATGAAAAGATTATGGTCTCGTATTCGTGAATGAATATTCTTTTTTCAGAAGAATATATTCATAAAATATTTTGATTTAAGATATACAAAATTAATATAGATTTCGTCGATATCGATTCTATATTATTTCATTTTATGTTTAATGCTACTGGAGATTATGATACTCATAATGATTCTGAATGAAAGAAATTATATTATCTTGGGATTATCTTGAAAAATTTAAATTGAAAAAAATCGTATAGAATATTCTAAAATATCGCATGAAATTATATTATTTTATGGAACGAATTGAAAATTTTGATGTATCATAAGTTTGTACGAAATATTTTTTTCATTAAAATTCGAAGAAAATCGTACTTAGAAGATCGCACTCTCATACAAAATATTACTTGAATGGCTCTTTTTACTTAAAGAATCGCGAAATCGCTTGCTTATGCGGAGTATCTTGAAAATATTCAAGAAAATCGCGTTTCCATAAAAAATCTTTAAGAATTTTATTCTTATTCATCATATTGGGAGAGAAAAAAAAATGAATAAAAGGATGATGGTTCTTCGAAGCAATATTCGAATGAAAAGCGTCGAAGAAAATCTTCTTCTAAGAATTTATTTATATATTATTTTATTATTAAGAAGAAATTATATGCGAAATATATACGTGATTGCGATTATCGTTCGGGGAGGCTTACCTTTAATTGGATGAAAGAAAATTTTCTTTATTTTGGATTCTTGGAATTTTGATGAATGATCTTTTTTTATTATTCGTTATGATGGGCCAAATATTGATTATTATCTGAATATTGTCGAAGGGGAATTTGGGAATAAAATTTTCTCTAACGATGAAAGCAAATGATATTAATTCCATTTCTTCATATTTTTTTTCAGAAATCTGAAATCTATTTGATTATCTGGTTAAATTATGATATCGAATGCAATCGTTATATAATGAATCATTTGGATTGGATTTTAAATATAAATCTGGAAATCTTGAAATTATTGATTTTTTTCAATTTGGATTTTTCTCTGATCGTATATTCTTGCGGAGATGGAATTCCGTATATATATAAATATGATAGATAAGCTTGATCGGAATGAATCAATTATGCAAGTCATATCGATCTTAGAGATTTGAGAATAGAAGCTTCTTTCGAGAAATAATCTTATTTTTTATCGTCAATCCGAAAAAAAATTGCGACTCAGCTTTTGAACGTATATGATTGGTTTGAGGATTCGGATGGTTTTATTTTCCGAATTCTGGTCGTTTCGGGCGGGCATTGCTAGTTATATTATTGGTAGCTTGGGCGTTTCAAAGCGATAATTAAAAAGATTGAAGGATATCTTCGTATTAAACGATCGCTCTATCTTCATTCAATCAACGCGGGATAGATGAAATAAATTTATCAAATATTTTCGAATACTAGATTTTTTGCGTGTACGTGGATTTTGGCGTTCTTATATATCGTAAAAAAATCAAGCAGATATCATAAAAAATTCAATTGAAAGAAAAATTTCTTTATTTTAATATCGGAATTTCGCTATGGGGGGGGCAAATGTCGATTGTTATCTGACTATTATCGAGGTCATATTTTTTTCAGAAATCTGGAATCTATTTGATTATCTGATTAAATCATGATATCGAATTCAATCGTTATATAATGAATCATTTGGATTGGATTCTAAATATAAATCTGGAAATCTTGAAATTATTAATTTTTCAATCTGGATTTCTCTCTGATCGTATATTCTTGCGGAGATGGAATTCCGTATATATATAAATATGATAGATAAGCTTGATCGGAATGAATCAATTATGCAAGTCATATCGATCTTAGAGATTTGAGAATGGAAGCTTCTTTCGAGAAATAATCTTATTCTTTATCGTCAATCCGAAAAAAATTGCGACTCAGCTTTTGAACGTGCATGATTGGTTTGAGGATTCGGATGGTTTTATTTTCCGAATTCTGGTCGTTTCGGGCGGGCATTGCAAGTTATATTATTGGTAGCTTGGGCGTTTCAAAGCGATAATTAAAAAGATTGAAGGATATCTTCGTATTAAACGATCGCTCTATCTTCATTCAATCAACGCGGGATAATGAAATAAATTTATCAAATATTTTCGAATGCTAGATTTTTTGCGTGTACGTGGATTTTGGCGTTCTTATATATCGTAAAAAAATCAAGTAGATATCATAAAAAAATTCAATTGAAAGAAAAATTTCTTTATTTTAATATCGGAATTTCGCTATGGTGGGGGCAAATATCGATTAATATCTGACTATTGTCGAGGTCATATTTTTTTCAGAAATCTGAAATCTATTTGA